ATGTGAGAATGCGAAATAAAAATGTGTGATAGATATAAAAAGAGCCAAGGCAACAGGATGTCACTGTTTTACTGAAACTAAATGTGTCAGTAAGACAGTAAATAAATAGAAGTAAATCTTATCTAATAACTTCTATTAAGTGAAACTTTCCTGTTCTGACAAAATCCATGCCACATAAGAATGCCGGATGTGTCCCAGCGTGTAGGCTGACTGTAGGCAATCACTTGTTTTAAACGTTAACCAGAAGACCCTGATAAGGATATTGCTGAACCATAAACAACAGATTGTCACCTTCCTCAAAAAAATTAAAACTCACTCTATTGGATGAATACAAGAAAAAATTCTGTGTTAAATGGAAGTCCATATTACTTTCTTCTCAGTTGAACTTATTGCTAGGCATTCATTACTTAATTAAACTTGATGAAATACATGCAGACATTTATTGCTGTATGTGCTATATTTCTCATGTTATTGCTTAAAACATAATGGAATCAGTTTTTGACAGGATTTATGTAGTTTGCTATTGAAGTGACAGTGTTAAGTCATTTGGAGATTCCTTACTTCTAGAAACTCAGGAGGAAGTGCTAGACAACAGGATGGATTAGTTTCTGTGATGTCTAATTTTTTCCAATATCTGTTAAGGCTTCTTTGCATGTTGTTTTTGTGGTCCAAGCAGAAGAACTTTGAACCAAATCACATGGCCTTGGTTTCATCATCTCTAAAAGTTGCAATGACTTGTTATACAGGAAGTTTTGAGATAATTTTTTCTTCCCCCTTCTTGAACCGCAAGAATATGCTTCCGGCACAGAGCATGTCACAGCAAATTTATGATAAACCTTTGGATTCTCCCTCCCCATTGGTGAGATATGAATGTATTTTCACAGGCAATGGGTCACTTTCCATGGCCTAAAATGGACAGTGTTATCACTGGATATCATAAGGACAGGCATTTATGTGCTCAGTAGATAGGAGGTGCATCTTGTCAAGAGTACCTTATGAAGGTGTGCCTCTACCTTGTGTAATGGCTTTGCAGTTTGTACCCCTTACCCTGCCCCTCTTCCCTGTCTGCTTTGGCAGTTGCTACTGAGGCCTTGAATAGTAAGAAGAAGTTGGAGGTATTTGTCATTCAGTATTTTTTTATTGGGTAGTAAGTTAGAACACTGGACTTCCTCACAGGTGTTCTCAAATTGTTGTGAAACCTAGTTTATTTTAGTTTTATAGTGTTAGTCCTGTGGTTTAGTAGGTGAGTGTGTGTAAGGTCTTGACTTAAGAGATTGTGAGACCACATAGTTGGTTCTGGGTATAAATGTTTTCAGACTGTGAGCAGGTGGATTGAGTAACCGTGAACAATCTTGCACATCTTCTGAAGGTAAAAGTGTCATTTAACTGTGTTAAGAAGTGCTTTTGTTTGCATGCTTTTCAGGACACTACTGAATTGTGAACCAGTGTCAACAGCATGGGATAACCTTGCATCTCTCTGCTTTCCCCATATCAGTAATGAACAAATAGATTACTTTTGTAAACCGTTTTTGTCAGACATGAGTGGTTGTTTCAAGCCCCAAATAAACAGCCATGTGAATCTGCTTGTCACTGATGACAGATCTGTCCTCGAGAAGGGCATGAATTAAAGCCTTCCTTTTTCAGATGCCTTCCTTCTGCTCGAACAGTTTATTCTGTAACTTGTAACTTGAGTTGTAGTGGATCATACAATCATAATTAATGCAGCTATAATTGACAAGTTACCTTCTCTCAATAGGGGGTCCTGGCATATTAACCCTAGTTTTGTTTTCCAAGTTTATTTTGGTGGCTCTAACAAAGTCTAAATGTTGGGCTTTTTGTTGGGATGGAAACTGCTACTTTTTCCAAAATCCCTCAGTATTAAATTTCCTCAAGGAAAATTTATATGTAAATTGAAAAGAACCTACTGGTTCAGCATACACAACTTGATGGTACAAACAATGAGTTGGTGTTACTCTGTTAAAGAGCCTTCTGCCTTCAACATTACATGTCTGAATTTCACTTATGCAACTTTTTGCTTTCATGCACTGTCTTGACTGTTTTGATAGCTTACTACCAAAACTGTATGAGACAATATAGTAATTTTAAAGCTGTATTTCTAGGCCTTTTAAAAGCTCATTACATCATTTGAGTTCCCTAAAAGCCCGAGGTCATCATAATTACTGCAAGATTATTTTTGTAGCTGATTTCTTATCTTCCAGGTCTTTTTGCTGTAGCTGGGTGAAGCCTTGTACTCTGGCTTACCTGCATAACAGAAACAGCGTGCCCATGTACTACTCATCTTTAATTTTCATTTGACTCCCAGAACAGAATGAAACTAGGTTGGCAAAGCTGTCTTGGGATAGTACAATGTGTTTCTGCCTAAAGGTTGGTCTGTCTGTGAACCTTTCCTGCTAGATTGGTGAGAAGTGATGGCATTCACATCAAAGGAAACCGTGAGCTTTGGTCCTCTGCAGTGTGGCAGCAGTAGTTGCCAAGGCAAACAGCGAGGCTTAAGTACATGCTTGGTTAGGTCCTTAGATGTGTGAATTACTAAGGTTGAGATGTGTCTAATACTGACTGTTAAGTCAGTACTTAACAAAATTAATTCCTTTGTAAGGGTTAATAACACACGGAACTCAAATGTAATGTTGCATAATCTACTTGCTTCTGCTTTGTATAAGAATTTGAACTGTGCACTTTGTTTCTAAAATGTCATTAGCAATCTGCATTAAAAAGAAGGATTTTTTACTTAACTAATAATTTTCTGCCTGCCCTTTTCTGTTTTTACTGGTTTGTCTGGTATCTTGGGTACTCGTAGTTGCAGACTAAGGATAGCCTGCCTAGAGGACTGGATGAAACCTGGTTACTTCTTTCTTCCTACCTGCCCTGGCAGGGTGACATGTTAAGTGTTCTTTTCTCCCCAAAAGCTCCATTTTGCCAATTGAAAGGTTTTTACCCTAATGACTCCATTCTGTGTCCTCAAGCTCACTTGCATGCATTTGTGTTTCTGACAGCCTTCACTCCCTCATCCTTTAGCAGAGCAAGGGTCTGTCTATGATTCTTCTTAGCAGTCTTAAGAAGAGATCGACAGGAGATCTGCCAGTGCAGTGCAAAAAGCAGCACAAGACCTTGTGCAGCTATATCTGCTTAAAGCTGTCCTGTCCCTTTCTGTCATTCTGCTTCTTAAACTAATTGAAAGTGACTTTAAATAAGTTACCTTCAGTTCTTTTTTTCAGTTGCTATTTTAGCTGTTCCCTAGATCTGGTCCTAGGAGGCTTTTAAATGCACTCCTGCTACCTTGCTAGGGCATGCATGGCTGGTGAGTCAGATGATAATTCTTGGAGTTCCTCCAAGTCTGAATTCTTCTGGTTCCTGTTACTCTGTTGACCTTTGACTTAAGAGGATCCTTCTTACTCCTTTTCCACACCTATTATGTTTAGAGTTCTTGCTCTCTGTCAAGTTGTTAAAGGTAAATACTGAAGTAGCTTTTTTTACAAGAAGCTGGCAAACTTAATCCTGTAGTCTGCATCCCTACCAGGTGATGGTAGTATCTCTGAAGTGGCAGCAAAGTGGATGTGAAATTGTCATCTTAGTTTCTTTCTATTAACTTCATTCTCATGTTTGTTAGCAGCAGGTTGGGGTTTTATTGTGTGCTTCTTTGTTTTGTTTGTGTTTTACTAGTCATGCCTGTGACTTAACACACACGTTAAAACTCTTACCAGGAAGCTGTCTGAAAACATGAAAATAGGTTGACTGATCAACATAAATAACTTCTTCTGCTAAATATTTGTAGGAGTGATTGTGTTTCTCTCTAATACCTAAGTATATTTAGTGGATGTGGGGTTCAACTTGTACCTCTATTTTGGAAAACAGAACTCCCCTCTTCCCTCCTGTGCCCTAGGCAGGTATAAGCAGTAATACTGGTAGAGTAACTGGGCACAAAACTCATCTATCTTCTGTAAGGGTTTTACAGGTATAAAAAGCACGTATGGGTGGTTCATTTGCAACATCTGCAAATAAATACACGACTTGGAGCAGTTCATTTGCTATCTTAATTCCTGGTTGCTTCTTCCAGTAATTATATATATAAATTCAACCATAGCTGAGCAGCATGCCAGTGGACAGGAATGACCTGTTCAAGAAACTTGCCTGTGTATGTTTTTAGCTAGAGCATCTCTGCTTTCTGTGTATATTAATGAAGTCATGGTGTAAAAAAACTGTTGAGGCATATGAAGGTTGCCATTGGTCTTTAGCCTTTAGTATGTGAAATGTTCCTTAGTTAGAAATATGTGTGTGTCAAAAAGCCCACATTTTATTGTTAGGCCACAAAGACTGCATTTGCTTTCAAGGCCTACTGTTTGAGCCAGGTGGGTTTATACCCATTTTTTTCTGTAACTTAAGGTACTGTAACTTTAGTAGATGTTGTGATGTCTCTCAATTCAAAGTGGAGCAGGCAGTTGTATAGGTATCCTGGAAGAACTATTCTTTTTATAAATACTGGGGTTCTTAAAACTTGTTGCTGTGTTTAGCAGTTCTGAAATTGGTATTTTAATACATTGCAGGATTTGCTGTTGCAAAAACCCTACATAGAAACTTTGTAATAAGTAAATGTATTTGTTTTCTAGATTCCTAATTTTTAATGCAAATTTTTTAATTTGTAATCCATGCTAAAAAAGGTAACAGGATTCTTGCACAAATCTAATCCTTGGAATAAAAAATAAACCTTGTGAAATAAGGTTTATTAATAAAGCTTAGTTGTTGTGGTTTTATTTTTTCATTTGTTAAAGCTTGATGTCTTAAAACCTTGTTTCACCTGTACTCATTATACTTTCCCCCCCTCTCTTTACAGCAGTTCTGTGGTGTTCTTGGTCACACATTTATGGAGTTTCTGAAGGGCAGTGGAGACTACTGCCAGGCACAGCACGACCTCTATGCAGACAAGTGAACTGTAGAAATCCATTACTACTCCACCAAGAAGCCCCCCTAAGAGTGGTTGACCAGGATAAGAAGTGTTGAATTGAAATCGGCAGAGCATTTACCAACAGAATTCAGACCTGGATGGGGTAAACCTCAGTGCACTGCCTTTCTTTTGCCTCAGTATTACTGGATTGAAGAATTGCTGCTTCTTGTTAGGAGGTTCATTTCATTTCCCATTGCTCCCAACATCATACTTCCAAGCACTGAGAATTTCACGTGGAGTATAGTGAAGTAGACTTCAGTTTCTCTACATCACTTCTGTATTAGAATTTTTTTTAATCCTTTCATAATCTTGTTGCATGTTAAACTAAATCAATATGGCCCGAATGAACCGCCCAGCTCCTGTGGAAATCACCTACAAGAACATGAGATTCCTGATCACACATAATCCAACCAATGCAACCTTAAACAAATTTATAGAGGTAAGGCCAGTACAGAATTCTTACTGATGTATTTCTTTAATCCCTGAACAGCATGCTATATTTATATATAAATAAATATATATTTACTAGCTAATAACTACTGTAAAAGCCATATGAGGAGGTACTGAGACTGTATATTGATTTTTCCTTTCAAATGCTGGTGCTTTGCTTTGAAGATCTGTAGACAAATCTGTAGATATCTGCAAATCTGCAGACAAATCACATATACTTTGGCCTTCACAAATGTAATTCTGAGAGTGAACTAATAATTATACTGTCTAGTGCATAGTACATTAAGTACATTGTTTAGGTCTGAAAACAGGAATTACCTAGCAGAGTTATGTACAGAGCAATACAAACAACTCTTAGTGGTAGGAGCTCACATTGAGATCGGGCTGAAGTGGGGTAACATTTCATTGCACTTCCTGCATAGTGATACATAGTGTGGGTCAGAACCTTAGGAGCTAGTAACAGGATTGCAATATGCTTTGACTGCCTAGCTTCCTTCACTATTAGCAGATCGTGGTTTTTGTGTAGCTTAAGAGGATCCTCTGTGTCATAGCGTCTTCAGAGTGAAATTTGTGGCAATAGGCTTGGTCTGCACTCAGAGCTGCTGAAGCTACTTCAAGTGCTTTGGTGCATGCTACTGACTGAAGCCAGTGGCTTGGCATAGATTGCTAGTACTGAATTCATCAGCTAAACCACGTATTTAGCATGTTGGAACTATAAAGTGCGTGGTTGTATAAAGTGTGTGTGTATGCTAATAAATTGCTTGCAGAGCTACTTCATGGGAAGGTCCAAGTTTGCTAAGTCCCTCCTTAGCAAGATTTTAGGTGTACTACACCTCAATTCTGTATTTGGTGCAGGATTATTTACCGGAAGCAGAGTGAGATAACATTTGCTTGCCTTTATATTCTCAAAAGTAGATCAGGTCTGCTTAGGCTGTGCTTCAGTCATTACCCTGGCAGTTGCAGTCTGAATGATATTTGTTGCAGGGAGAATGAAGAGGGATTGCTTTTTTTTTTTTTTTTTTAATTTTAATGTAGGGTAATAGCAAAATGGAAACCTAAATTTTGTCATGACAGCTCAGGAATTGGAATAATTTATTGTCCTGTACTTTTAACTCTTAAGAGTAAGTGGTCTAACAAACCTGTTGTTTTTAGCAGAGAGAGAGGGGGAAGATATGAACTTTGCTCAGAATGCTTTTAGTGAAGTATGTAGCTTTGCAAACCAGGAAGCTTCATGTTCCTTTAAGATGAATGATCATTTGGAGGTGGACTACTTGGACTAATCAACGTTTATCAGGATCTCATTTTAAAAGAAAAAAGTCTGATTCAACATAACCAAACTTAGTCTGCACATAAGACTATGTTTGCAGAAAAGCATAAAGTATCTGGTGTTAGCACACAAGTTTTTAGTCATTTCAGCTATCTCTGTCTTTGCAGGATGGCAAGCATTTGCATGAGTTTTGCTACTGGGAATTTTGGAATGAGTTACTAAGTTAGTTTATTAAGAAAATTAAATGGTTAAGTGAAGCTGGTTTACTCTTACAGCATTTTTTCCACTCCTTAGGAACTTAAGAAATACGGTGTTACCACAGTGGTGAGAGTGTGTGAAGCTACTTATGACACTGCTCCGGTGGAAAAAGAAGGCATTCAGGTTTTGGTAAGTAGTGTAGAAGCAGAGTTTGGAACCAACACATTTTGCTGTTCACTCTACCCCCTTCCCCAAAAAAAAAAGATTATTTGACACCACTTTATGAGTGTATTCACTCAGCAACTGATGGAGGAAAAAGATGTAGAGACATCTTTTCTTGTCAGGAAAAAAAGTTCAGTTTTGAGCTAAATCATGTGATCAATGAAAACTGATTGAGAGGAATCTATTTGTAATATTGCTGTAGTTAGACTATTAGAAAATTGTAGGTTTAAGTGGTTTCCTCAGCTGTCAGCTCTTCGTCCATTGTGTCCCCTCCTTTTTTTTGCCTGTGCATACAGCTTACAAGAATTCTGTCTTTATGTGTTTGTCACCCTGTGTTCTAGGACTGGCCCTTTGATGACGGTGCTCCACCATCCAACCAGATTGTTGATGATTGGCTAAACCTCCTTAAAGTCAAATTTCGTGAAGAACCTGGTTGTTGTATTGCTGTACACTGTGTTGCTGGTCTTGGAAGGTGGGTGAAGTTTTAAAGATTTGTTGAATTTGTCATCCCTTGCCAGACTTGTTAAGATCTAGTGCAAAAGTTTACTTGAGGCAAATGTAAAATAGGCACGGATCCAGTATTGGAATGACCTCATGCTTAAAAGGAGTTAAGATGGCAGGAAACTTCTATGTATTTATTGAAGATCTTTAGGTCAAGAGATGATGCTTCAGAGCTCTCACAAAGTCTACAGAATTAAGTTAACAAGTGTATTCATCAACTGAGTATGTTGATGAGTGCCCCATTGAGATTTTTTTGTCTGTTTTTCCCTAATAGACTTGGGGTTTTGTGACTTGTCTGCTTTCTCTCCATCTCCATTTCAGCAGTATTGCCAGTCTCCTTGAACCAAGGGCATTGTAACTGTTAACCACAAACAAGTGGGTGGTTCTGGCACATCAAGACCAGCTTTCGTCCACAACCTATCTGGGGCATGAAAAGTGTTTTCTAAAGTCCCAAAGCTGTTTGTCTCATTTCTAAGTAATATGAAAATTTTTAGGGATATTGCTAAATATTCTCCTCTTAGTCAGGTTCCTTCTGTCTGCTGCCACTATCTTGAATAGACTTCCAAAAGTTGTGAGAAAATAATAATGGTTTTACTGCTGTTCTAAACTGCTTGGGAACTAGATCTGTTCCAAAAGAAGTTGCTATATTCTAGCTATGGATTACAGCATGTCCAATATAAAATGAAGGTTTCTGGTCTTGTTGTCCCTAAACCTGGCTTATCCAATGCATTATGGCTTCACATAACAAGATTCACTGTAGTGAACTTTGTAGAGGAATGTTACCAAAACAAGTCTTCTTCTGCTGCTTAGAATGATAGAGGTTGGTTTTTCCTCAAAATGGGGTAGTTAATTAGTTGAAGACAGTCCTAGCTTTCTGTCATGTAAGTTTCCTTATAAATCCCTGAACATACAAAACCACTTAAAGTTACTATTATATGCACTAGTCTGTTGCTAGTTTGTGGCGTGAGGTTTTGTCTTGTGGTTTTTGGTGGGGTTTTTTAAATTGCTAATATATTTGAGTTTAAGTCAAGCTTTTGTAACTGAAAATTGATTCTGTCAAAGGAGGACCACCATGGCAAACAAGTAAATCCTCAGGGGAGTGTAGTAGCCTGTGGATTGCGTCTGTTCCCAAAACTTGTGACACTAGTGTAGGATTTGTCACTTCTTACTGAACTCGACCTCTCTTCTGACTTTTGTTTTGGCATCCTGACTGCTTCTAATGGTGATTCATTTTGGAGAATAAAAACCCAAATGCAACTCTTCCTCAGAATCAATTTATTTGAAACAAATGGTTAAAGATTACTTGCATTTTGCTTCTGTTGTCATCTCATGTACCTAAAATCAGATAAACGAAGCTAAGGTTGACCAGAGTTAATTTAAACCCCTATTTAATGAGAATGGCTAACTCAAAATCAGGTGATATGTCTCAGTGAATGTAGGAATGGCCTTCTGCCTTTTCTGCTTTCCCAGTGAAGAAACATCAGATATGCAGAAAACAGAGTAAATGGTTTTTCTGAGTATGCTTTGACAAAAGCTAAACTGATTTTTTTTTTTTAACCAGAGCTCCAGTCTTAGTTGCTCTTGCACTGATAGAATGTGGAATGAAGTATGAAGATGCAGTGCAGTTCATAAGACAGTAAGTGTGACACTAATATGTAGCTGTTCCCAAGATTCAGTATGTTGATACATCCTTGGCCCTGAAGGAAATTCTGAATTACCTTTGATGCCTTTTTTTTTTGGTAAGGTTTTTAATTTAGTACATCTGAGATTGTAGTGCATACAATCAGTGTTGTAGGATTTGGATCTATGGAATGGATATTTTTCTGCTGAAACCAGAATCCATACATAATTACTTGAGGAGGTTTAAAAAAAAAACAGAACAACCATTAACAAATCCCCTAACCTTCAGTTAAATTTGCAGAGTTCTCTTTATTTATTTTACATATGAAAGGCAGAATACCTTTGTCTTTTCTGGTGGTCTTCTGAAGGCAAATATGTCCTTGGATTTTTTTAATCAATGTATGTAAGTCAGAGGAGAGAGTTTTAGTCTCAATATTTTAAATTCTCAGGTTTCAGCTATATTTAAAAAAAGCTGCATCCATTATAAACAATAACAAAACACTTCTTGCATAATTGCCAGGCCTTCGAAGAATTAAATTTAGCTTGTACTGGTTGTATATGAAAGGAGGAATAGGTAGCAAGGTACATACTCCAGTCAGCCAACATGTACCTTTTTTTCACATACATACAGTTTGAGAAAACAAAAGAAGATTAATTTCTGTTCAGCATCTTTATTATGGGGACTTTAAATGTTTATGTACCTTCTTACTATTGTCATATTCTTCATAATTGTTTTAAGAGAATGCATGACTTCAGCTCTCAAGAAGGCAATCTTGCATCTTCTCTATAGCTTCCTGTTGAAGTTTCTTCCAAAGATCTTAATGTAAAATCTCTGGCTTTTGCTTATCATAAGCTAGAACACTGTCTAAAATGTTATGTACTCCTTTGTGCATGTGGTCCAGTGAGGTATTTATGAAAGGAAGCTACCACCCTCTTTCCTGGCACTTAACTTCCAATTATCCCTACTTTGGTTACAGCCTTGACTTAAAGGTGGCTTTTTTTAAGTGACCTGAAAATATTTTTCTCTGGTTGGTGATATTATTTCACTGGGCAGTAGATTAATGTTCTGTTTCAAATCTGTTTCTTTCCATCTAGGAAGCGGCGTGGAGCTTTCAACAGCAAGCAACTTCTGTACTTGGAGAAATACCGCCCCAAGATGCGTCTGCGCTTTAAAGACTCCAACGGTCACCGAAATAATTGTTGTATTCAGTAAAGCTCAACAGCCTATAGTACTTCTTTGGAAATAAAGGATGGAAACAGGAATTAAGCAGACTGCATGCCAAAGACATCAGTCTGGTATTTTTTAGTAGTAAAGGAAGCTTCCTTAGGAGTATTTATTAGGCTAAAGGCTCAGTAGAAATGCAACTTCTATGTTTAGATAAATATCTGTCTATTTGGAGACCCAGTAAATGTTTTTGCTGTACCCTGTTTCTGAGCTGTCTCCTTGTTCATTAATTATCAGATCAAATATCCTTTAATCATGCCATTGAGTCTTACTGACCTAGTTTCAACTACTATAAATTGGGGTACTAAAATAAATCTATCTGTAGAGAGATTAGGTGCCAAAATACCCAGCATATCAGCTACATGTTTTTCCTTAAAATGGGCATAGTTCTGATGATGTGAGAACTACCAGCTTATCTGGACCTTACTATCTTTTTTTCTACAGTCATTTCAATATTGAAGAATATGGCCTCTAAAGTAGTCTTGCCTGCTCACGGTATGTTTTGTCTCCCACAATCGCACTAGAATTATCAAGATTTGCACAGTCTGTCTTTTTAATACTATGAATTACAGCAACTTTTTACCCCTGCATCTGTACTTTTCTGTTACCTGAACCTCTCCATATTACAAGTCATTACTCTGGTTATTCATGTAGAAGATCTTTTAAATTGTACAGAAGCACACAAGTCTTTAATGTCTCCAGACAAAAAGCCTTACAGTAAAATTAATGTTGGCACTTCATGTGCAACTTAACAGAGGGCCTGAAAAGGTTGGGAGGGGCTATTTAATATTTCTAGTAAAATGTTGCCTTTGTCTTGTGCAGGAAGTATAGAATATGCCCTTTACTTTAGTAAATATTTTTTTAAAACGTAGAAATGCTTTGTTATTGTAGCTAAAAATTCTTAATCAGAAAATTTCTGAAAAATCTTGTAGTTTTCTTTTACTGTACCTATTGAGAGTTGTTTACCAACTATTGCTTTGTTGAAAGTGTGATCTTTTTCTTTTCTTTTCATTTTTCCTCCTTGAGTTTCTGCTATGACTTGGGCAGACCTCTGTAATATTTTGTATGCCTTTCAAGCTGCGTAACTTAATATTTGGATACTTGATAATTTGTTTTATTATGTAATTGATAAAATGGTGATGTGTATTAATGTTAGTTCAACCATATATTTATACTGTCTTGGGAATGTGTGGTTATAGTTCTGTGGGAGAAATACTTTTGCCAGTGTTCACCAGCTTGTAAAATCTAGTGCGAGAGCTTAAAACATCTAAATAAAGACTGAAATGCACTTACGAAGTTTGCTGAAATGCTCATCACTTTCACTTACTTTTGTGTACTGTCAGCAATCTGGAGGTGCCTAAGCTCAGAATCTAGTCAGGCATCTGTTTTCTTCTTTTTTTTTTTTTAAATCTGGGCCTGAATGTCCCCTTTGCTGTAATGTTTGCTGTTTGTTTTACTCATAAATAAATGTGGATAAAAATTAATGGTAGAAAGTACAGTATTTTTTCATGTAGCTTACTTGGGACTTGCTGTCCCCAGTACTAAAGCAGCTTACTTACTTAGTGTTCTTGAAGCTGTTTTTGCAGTAAAACAGAAGAGGATAAGCACCAGTAAAGCTTAGAGAACACTTGAATCAATACCATTAGAATTCAGGTAAAAATAATGTGATAGAATGCTTCATTGTCAAGACTGAAGCTATGTACAAACAAGATGTTCCAAAAAATGCGTGAGCAAAGACCTGTTATTTGAGTTTCCAAAGTGGTGACTAAACTTCCTGACAAGTACTAGAAGGTGCTCTTAGTAGGCAGCTGAGGTGATCGATGCTCATATCTGCTTAGAGTTAAACTTTGGTTAATATATCTCTTCCTTTCTAAACAGTGAGGTGGGATCATAGTATCAGTCAATGAGATTTCTGAAGGATTGCTTTTGGAGAAGTTATAGCCTCATTATAAAGAACACTGTATGATTTTAAAATGCCTAAAATAATATAATATAGCACAATCTTTAAAGCAGTAAAATAAACTTTGGATCATCTTTCCTGTGGAAGCTGAACGTGGTTTAAAAGGTATTTTGTTTAATAGAATACAGCTTCATTTGACTGAAGAAATGAGATGTTATGGAATGACATCCAAAGTCATCAATGTTTCTGTTGCCAAGATGGGCATGGAAAACAGGCTTTAATGTAACACTTAATTTTGGATGCTTTCAATGTGTAACTGCTTTGCCCCATCAAGAGGTATATTGTAGTACATTCCTGTCATCTGCTAGACTGGTTTGTGCTGTGGACTTAATGGCTTATGTAATGTGACACATAAATGGTGGCAGTGTTTACATCATTCCTTAGCATGTAGCAGAAATGTTCATGGGAAATGGGGCAAGAGTTTGCAATTAGTGCAGCAGAAAACTGATTAATTCCCTATATTGTTCTGTCATATGGTCCCTTAAAAATTTGGAGGAAAGGTAGTCAAACAAGGTACTTTGTTACTGATTATCCAAAATTAGGTATAAAATTGAATGTGATTTTCTTGACTCTGATTCTGAAAAGTGCTGAGCAGTCAGTTTCCACTTAAGTCTGTAAACACTTGTACTTAAATATACATGAAATTATGTGGAACTCTTTCTCAACAGTCCTGAGCCACTTCAGACTGTACTCAAAAGTAATTAATACTTCTAATCTCCCTGTCTTCAGTTCTCAGTGTATAAAAATCCATTCCAGTCCTTAAATTAGTGGGGCAGTTCTGGAGATAAGCAGTAATTTCTGAAGTAATCAGACCCATCAGCTTTATTGCAGAAGAAACAATGAGAAAATGAGTAATTTGGTATTGAGGCTGAATCCAAGGTTAGACTTAAGGTCTTTGGCAGTAAGAAAAGTAGTAAGGCTCTGCTCATTTATGTGAGCATTGTTTGTCCTTACAAATGGGATGGGGGAAGAAATCTTCTGTAATTAAATAAATGTATTTGAGAGGGCCAGACTAGGGGTTCATATATGATCTTACCTTAATTGTTTTTAAGTTTCTGAGTGCTTGACTGCAGCATTAATAATACTCTTTTTCCTTTTTTTTTTTTTAATATGTGCAACATTATTTAAATAATTACTGAGAACACTCAAAACAGTATCTTAGATTTGCTGGGCTTTTGCTGTGTCTTTGTTAAGCAAGTATTTTCTGTCAGTATCGGGAAAGTTATCAAACCAGAGATAGTATTGTCCCAAGAAGATTACTATTACCTTTTGTATGTATTTGTGTAATCCCACTGTAAAGAAAAAATCAATTATGCTTCACAAATTGAATTCAGCTCTTAAAATCAGGCTGAAATTTGATGGGTTTATTAATAGCTAGGAGGGACTTAACTGAAGAAATGCAGTTTTTTTAGTGAAAGGAATTTTGCTGTTAGGTATGTCTCAGCTCTCCTATGCTAAGAGATACCTAAAATAGGTTAGCTGAAGAGCTCTCTAAAAATGAGAGCATATTCTGTAAAGGGAACATGGGATGGCAAATTCAGCTTTTAGCATTGGTATGTACAGGCAGATTAAATAAATTTCACCTAACTTCGTTAAGTGCAATAGTTCAAAGTGTCAGGTAAAGTATTTCTTTCCACATACTCTGCTCTTAATGTGTAATAACCATTGACAATTATAACTCAATTTAATCTTACTGATATGAGTTTATGCTGTGTAACCACAGCAAGTGGCATTATTTTTGTCTTGATGGTCACCTGCATGACTGCTGTTAATTTTGATACATACTGTCTTAATGCATTGATAATTATCTCAATAACAACTCAAGTTCCCTATCAGTTGAAAGCCTCTTTGTGAGGTAATAGTGTTTAAATAGTGATCTGACAAGAAACGATAGGGACAGTGCCAGAAGATCAAGTTCCCTGCTTCAGTTTCTGATTCAAATGAGAACTCTGAAGAAAATCAGATACCAGTGTTTAGATACATAGGAATGCTCAAGACAGAAATACTCACAAAGGAGAAGACATTCAGTCTCAATACTACATGTAACCTGCGTCTGTAAGAAAACCTAGATGTACAGAATGGGTATTTTCTATTGGACTGGAGTCTTAATCTCACTTTATTGGTGGAGTAACGGCAATAGCCGATTTTTATCCTTTATAAATTTGCACATGCTTTATCATTAAGTTCCACTGATGCTTGTTCTGAATAGGACAGAGCTTGAATTACCTTTGGACTCTGGAGGAGCAAGAGTTGCAGGTGATGAACTCTTCTTCCCCATTCACAGGAGTACAGTTATGATACAATCTGAACAGGACAGCATTGTTACGCACGTCCACAGTGCTAGTAGGAAGCTACACACATCTTAGTTTACCTTCTTCAATTCCCCAGTAAATCTGTGTGTCTTTAGGTAGGGCATGCAAACCCTGAAGTTGCATTTAAAATTTCAATTCAACTGTGACAAGTTTCAGTTCATCATAGTAAAAGCACATAAAGACAAGAGGGCCATAGCAGATGTGCAAAACCATGGAGTTCCCTTATACTGCAAGTACACTCATCTCTTTACACTTGATGTACAAGGTTTTCCAGAGTAACACGTCCCCTGTCTGTCCCAGGGATGGGCTGCCCTACTCTTCTCTCCCTGGTTTTGTACAGCAGGATTCTTCTCCCTGCCTTCAAAGTGGGAGTTCCTTGCAGGATGCTGTGGAGAATGGGTACCTGGCAGGAACTTTATACCCCGATGCTCTCAGATGCTGCCTCAGGCCACCCTACATGGAGTGTTTCTGCACTCTGTCTTTATTCAATAGACAGAATTTTGCTAATGGGCAGACTTTTTTCTAGGCAGATGCTGGCTGTTTCCTATATTAATCTAATTAGTGAGACAATTTTATAATATCCAATCACTTTGTGTTGTTAAGGTTATCCTTCTGATGGAGAGCATGCAAACTTTCCCATATTTGTGTTAAATCACACCCCTTTTTACCTCTCCTCTTCTCATACTTCATTCAGTTGCCTGATCTTGAGTTAGCCTTTTGCTGCATAAGGTTTATTTCAAACATTGAGAGTCTTTAGCTCCCAAGTTCTTGACCTTATTTTGTTCCTGTTTTCCCTGTCTAGAAATTCTTGGTCATTTCTATTTCGCTTGTCTACTTCTCATCAAAACTCCTTTCTGGACTTCCTTCATTGCTACCTGGTTTTCTTCACCGGAAAAAAAATAGGTACTGTTCAACAGCACTCGATGTTTATATGCCTGTCTCAATTGTCTTTCAGCACTACCAGAGTATTTATACTACTTTGAAGTTGGGTCTCAATAAGTTCTATTCCAAGCCCTTTGCCTTGGAAGCAGTTCTGAGCCAAGTCCAGGAAGGGAATTTGAGAGAATTATCATATATTATTGGGTTGAAGCATTAGGATATTTTTGAAGGAAATCCTCTAATTGTGCTATTAAGAATATAGAGTAATTTAGATTGGACAAAACATTAGAAGATGATCTAGTCCAACCCCATGCTCAAAGCAGGGATAACTTCACAATTAGATCAGGTTATTTAGGAGCCTATTGAATCTAGTTTTTAATATGTTCAAGGATAGAGATAACAGCTCCTTCCCAATATCCGTCACTCAGCTGAAAACTTCCCTTGAGAACTATTCAGAATCTTCCCAGATGCAATTCCCCCGTTTCTCACATTTTTTCACTGTGACCTCCAAGACACTCTGTCTCTTCCTCTCTACATTCATCTGCCAGGTAACTGACAGAGGAAATTTGCCTCCTCAGTCTCATCACGAGGGTGAAGAAGCACAATATGGTCTATGCTCCAAGCCTCTAATAATCTCAGTGACCTTCTACCATGGTTCCTTCCAGTTTGTCAATATTTTCATGTACTGGGGAACTGGACACAGGCTACCAAACAATTGCCTTCATAGAAGCTAAAAATTAAGGTAAATAGTACTGGAGTGAAATCTCAGGTATTCAGAGAATTCATAACCAGCAGCAGTTCCATAGATACGTGCCCAAATTAGTTTGGGACATAAGTCTCAAAGGCATATTTTGTGCTGGCTATCAAAGTTTGTTTCCCTCTAGCACTAAAAAAGTTCATTAAAGCATTTTTTTCTGTTTTACACCAATCTCTGCATATAACTGCATCTCTGTCTTACTTTCTGGGATAAAATGTCTTTTTTCAGTCTTGAATCTGTGTATTGCATTGGGTAATTCTTAACAGCTTGTAACTTCTACACCTTTTACCGCTCTACAAAAACCTACCCTTAGTCATAAAATCAATGGCTAAACATCCTTTGTCTTCAGAACCTTGCCTTTGTCCACCTTGCTGTATGGGTAAT